TTTATGTTTTCCATTTTGGCATGGGTGTCAGGTCTCCTAGAACTGGAATTACAGACGGCTGTGAGCTGCTATGTGGGTGCTGGGAATTGAATCCAGGACCTCTGGAAGAACAGTCAATGTCCCTTAACCACCGAACCATCTCTCTAGCCCCCAAATCAAAATGTTTATATGCACTTTCAATCTATTTAAAACTCCAGAAGGAGAGATGGCATTGGACAAAAGATGTACAGCTATTTGAATCCAGACTAAAAGAAGCATTGTGTTTAGTATGGAACCTTCACTGTCTTTAGACCTATTTTCCCCACTAAACTGTTTTCTATGGGTATTACAGCACACGAGGATAAACCTTTGGAATAGATTCATTTACACCACAAGGGCCATAAAATACTAGTCACTTACCTTACTCTTCTTATTCAATTAGTAAACCAGAGGAGGATCCAATGTCAACAATTAAATGGATTTGATCCTTGCTGTATAACATTATATATTACCCTTAACTAACAATCAGTTTAAAGAGTGTTACAAAACTCTATGAATATTCAAATTTCATTTTCAGATTACTATGAAAGGATATGAAATCATTAAATCTAGCTGGTAAGCTATGGGATTTTCTCATATGGACTGAATCTATGATTAAAAAGATTGCCCAACCTTCTCCCATTCCACAGGCAGATACTTATTTTATTGATGGCCCAACAGGTGGAAATGGCTATCTTGATTCATTTATTATGGTTAATTCATAAGTCCTTAAATACTGTTTCTGATTCTGCTTATGTTGCAGGGTTATTCTCATCAATAGAAACTGATTTAGCTTTGTCTTCACATTTCTATGCTTCCATTGCTATAGGTTACAATCTGCACATTCCTCATTACTCATACTCATGCACACTAACCTCACTGCAGAAGGAAATAGCAAGCTGGTACAATAACCTGCCTTATTTACTCATCCACCCGTCATTCCATGTGCATCCACTCCTCCGGCCCTGGGCCATCAATTCAATGGCAGTGGAGGTCGAGGAGACAGTGAAAGTCACCAGAAAGAGCAAACCCCCAGGTAAAGGACAAAAGGACCATGTCAAAAGTCAAGTCTGTCCACTGGGACCAAGGGAGAAATTACTTCACTTAATGACTCTGTGTTTACAAATGGACCTTGAGACTATAATAGACTCATTCACTCATTTGAGGAAGAGAATGCATTTAACTTTTCCTTGGGATTTAGATCGCTTCTTATTTGCATAGGACATTTAACTTTGTTTTCTATTAAAAGACAAATATGGGCTTATATTCTACAAGATACCAGAATCTAGCTGGGTGTTGGTGGCATATGCCTTTAATCCCAGCACTCGGGAGGCAGAGGCAGACGGATCTTGAGTTCGAGGCCAGCCTGGTCTACAGAGAGAGTTCCAGGACAGCCTCCAAAACAATACAGAGAAACCCTGTGAAATCTTTTTTTAAAGATTTTATTTATTATTAATTATATGGTATTCTGTCTACAAGCCAGAAGAGGGTACCGCATCTTGTTACAGGTGGTTGTAAACCACCATGTGGTTGCTGGGAATTGAACTCAGGACCTCCGGAAGAACAGCCAGTGCTCTTAACCTCTTAGCCATCTCTCCAGCCGACCCTGTGAAATCTTAAGTCTCTAGATTTTCCTTATCAATATGATGTAACAAACAGTACTGGACAGTTTGGATTTCTGTTCGTGGAGGAAGAGTATTAAACACAAGGCTTTCAGAATTAGGTCAATATGTTTGCTTATAGGATACTCATGCATCAAATGACTATTAGATTTATCTATGTCTCAAAACAAAAACCCCCCAGATATCAAAAGGGGAAAGATGTCAGAACACAGTGCCAAGAATGGAGTCACATATGATTTTTGAACACTTGTAAGACAGATCCAAGAAACCAAGAGTCTTGTGACCTCAGTTTCTCCAAAAACACAGAATTGTTCTTGGAATGTGCTTTTGTGCCCCTCCCAGATGTATAGGAGTGAGTTTACTTCAGATTATTCATTACAATTGGCTATTTTTGTTTATGCACCTATATGAAAAAATATATTTCTTCCGCATGCCCTTATGACTATAAACTTTACTCATGTGGTCCCTTTTAAGTCTCCAGAGTATAAATTGTCCGATGCTCTGAATAAAGTGGGCTATTGCATGAGAGTTTAGTCCACCTCACTTACTGGCTCCATTCTCCCAGGTCCCACAACTCTAGAGAGGTAGAGTTGTAGAGATATAGGCTGTCAGTGATTAGGCTTGAGTTTTGTTGCAGAAGGCCACAAAAACCACATAAGACACCCAACTGTACTAATGAAGATGAAGTAGTTGTAAATTTGAGAACATTAAAAAAAAGAAGGAAAAGTAAGTTTAGGTTGGAACAGTGTTGGCTCATGCCTTTAATTCCGGCACTAGGAGGTAAAGGCAGGCAGATCTCTGAGTTTGAGGCTAGGAGTTCCAGGCTACACAGAAAAACCCTGTCTCAGGGGGTAAAAGAAATCAAACCAAATAAGTAAGTAAATAAATAAAAACAAAAGAAAAAACTAAGTTTAGAACCAGGAGTATTTTTAATGTTGGGTGAGATGGGGGCACACCTATAATCTTCTGGAGGCACTGAGGCAGGAAGGCTGGGAACTTGGGGTTAGCCTGTGCCACATATACATGTTAGGCTCAAAAAAAAGAGAGAGAGACTTTTTTCCTTTTTGTTAGTCCATTACTGTTTAAACCATCACACCTCATCCAAGAACAAGGCATAGGCAGACAGTGATATTCACTTTCCTTTCTTCTCCACTTTCCTCCCCTTTTAGACAGGGCCTCATTGTTCCCAGGCTGAAAATGCTTATTTCCTTAGGAGTAAACCCAAAAACTGTACAGTGTGAATGTCTTTTGGCAGTCACTAAAGAGAAAATCACAACACGTCAGTAATTCCTATGGTCTTTCAGACAATCATTCTCATCCAAAGTTTAGGAAAGCTAAAACCCCCTGAGTTATTAGTGACAGCTAGCAAGCAATACTTCAGAAGGCCATCACACTGTGACAGAACACCAAATAGTACAAGATCTACACTTAAACACGCACACCAACACTTTTTGTCAAAAGCAAGTTTCTTAACATCTGTAAAAGCTGCGACTCCTGGATACTCCATCGACCAAGAATCTAAACACAAACACACACACTTCTCATGCATATATATATATTCAGAGAAACCAAGGGGAAAAAACAGGGCTTTTGTGATTTTAGTGATCATATCGCATGAAGATTCTGAATTAGAATCTACGTCAGCTTTTAGTACTGGCTAATTTATCAGATTACATTCAGTTTTACAATTGAGTATATAAAAAAGCATGGAATGTGCTCAACACTTTAAAATTCCTTGTAGTGTCTTATAAAAGTATGATTCAACAATTCAATCTTCCTTCCCGTTATTTTTAAATTAAAAAAAAATGAACATGGGTTTTTGTTCACTTCAATGCAGGTTCCCAAGGAGGCTAGAGGTGCGGGATTCCCTGGAGCTGCTGGGGCTACAGCAGCTGTGAGTTGCCTCAGGTGAATGCTGGGAACAGAACTTCGGTCCTCTCCAAAAACAGTGCCATTTCCCTCGCCTCTTCAGCCCAGCTTCCCTCTTGCACATATAAACACCCGGCACAAAGGTAACCGGGCCATCGCCTGCCTGGCCTCTGGTCAAATCCCGTTCACCGAGTCTCGTAAACCAGAGTCTCGGAGGCTCACATAAATCTGTAAACAAATCTCTTAAATCCACTGCCTGGCACGGGCCAAAAGCTGCACGAACCTTAGCTTTTACAACCGCCACAATCTGACCACAAACCTTTGTCTATTTTCAAACCAGAAAGCTTGGAAAGTGCAATCTCTGAAGTATGGCACAAAACTTACTCGGTGGCAAAAGCTGACCTGACAGTATCTATCCATTTCATTACAGAATGAATATTTACAACTGCTGCATTTTTTTCCTTCCCCTCAAGTTTTGAGGATTGACTTTAGGGCCTCCCAGCAGGCCAAGCCAGCGCTCAATTACTGAACGACAGGCCGAGCCTGCGCAAATGCTAATACTGGATGAACGGCCCCCGAGTCCTCTGAAACACGTCTTTATTAAAAAAAAAAAAAATCAGAGAACCGGAAGACAGCTGAATTCCTAAGCATACTGGCCTCAAGGCTCAACCTCAGTTAAGAGAGCGAAGATGGACATCGGGATTCCTTCTGTCATCCAAAAAAGAACACTCCAACTTCGGCGACTGCACTCAAGTCTCTGAAGCCAAGCCAGTTTTTGCAGAGCGGCTCCCACACATCCCGACTAAAGGAAACTCCTCTGCCCTACCCAAGGGGCACCACTAAACAAAGACTTTCCACGGCGACCCCGCTACGGAGGGTTTGGCTCGGAGACAGGCCTTTGCCACGCCGGGGGGCGCACACGTGCGCTCCTGTCGTGACGGGCTGGTAAGTAAGTCATCTACGGTGGGGTCCGGGGTGATTCGACACCAGGGCTGGCGAGAACGCGACTTTCGGTTTCCAAAGCAGAGAGGAAAGTGAGTGGCCCGAGCGCCGCATCCGCGCCTAAACCTCTCGAGAGAACGGAACGACCGGGGGGTCGCGAAGAGCGGGAACCTTGCCACACCGGGATCTCCAGGCGCTGCCGCGGAGGAGGAGGAGGAGGCGGCGGCGGCTGCGGGACTCCTCCGCGGCCGTTCGCCCTGGAAACCAGGGCCGGGGCCCCGGGCGTGGGGGAAGGGGCGCCGGGCCAGACGCCCTTTAGGGCCACGCGAACAAAGGGGAGCCGGGACCAGCCGGGGCGAACCAGCCCCCGGCGGCCGCTCGCTCCCGCCCTACGCCCCCCAAGCCTGCTCCCCCCGGGGAGGGAGGTGTCGGCCGCCCGGGCCCCCGAGGATCGCGGTCGAAGCTTCGCTCAGAGCCGCCAGGCCCCCGGGGACCCCGCGTCGTCCCCCCCGCAAGCCCCATCCCCCGCGGGCGCCGAAGCGGACTCACCCGGCAGGATCCGAGCCCTAGGCGCGGCACGGCGGCGGCGATGAAGGAGGAGAGACGAGCGACGGAGGACCGACCGGGGGGCCGGGGGCCTGGCGGACCAAGGCGGCGGCGACACGGCTCCTCCTGGCACCGGAAAGGGAAGTGCGGGGGCCCGACCTGGCCCCCCGCTATTTCCGCCCGCCCCGCCCAGCCACCCTGCGCCCCCAGCCGGCCGGCCGCGAGATTGCAGGCAGGGCCGTGTGGCTCCCCGAGGTTGGGCTGGTTCCCCGCCCCCCCTGGGTAAAACGCGGGAAAGCTTCACCTCTTCCTGAGTTAAAAAGACCCGCACGAAAACCTCCCCGGTAATGCTCAAGGCTAGCCCGTGGCTAGAAGCAGATTTTGGACTCCTTACGTCCAGAGTTCTTTGCAGTCAGGCTCCAAGCTGGCTGTCATGATGGTCCAGCCAAAATTGAGGGTAAAAAGATGAAGGAAGGCGAAGACTTTGCAAGGTGTTGTGAATAGAAACTTGAGAGCAATCTGTGTTTGCAGTGAGTGGGTGGCTACTTGGAAAGATTGGAATGTTGTCGGTGCAGGGGCTAATTACCTTATCTTGGGCTAGCTGTAGCTCTCTAGAACAGAGGCGATCCTTGCTGTAATAGTTAAGAAAGGCAATCTTGTCCCTTTGGAGGCAAGGGGCACCACAAAGACACACCATGCAACAGAGCTCATGTAGGAGGTTTATTAGGGGGAGTTGCAGAAGGAAAGAGAGAGGGGTGAGAAGAGCGTGCCTTTTATAAGCGGATATAACGCATGCACGTGCAAAGGGAGAACACTCGCTCTCATTAGTTGCTGTAGCAGTTACAGTGTCGCGTCTTGGCCGCTGCAGATGACTGTCCTGTTAGGTCCCTGAGAGCAAGCCAGTGTAAATGTCTGAATGCTAACATTCTCCTATTTTGTTTACTATAAGAAATAGGAAGGGGTGGCTGGTGAGGCGGGAATGGGGACATCGTGTTCTCTAGACTGTTTCCTGCTCTCTGGGATGTTGGCCAAGTCCTGGGATAGCTGGCTGTTTCACCGGTGTCCAGGCTCTGCGGGAGCGTCCTGTGCTAGGAAAGGGCAGGTCTATTTGAAGCAGTCTGAGGCTGAACCACTTAGGGGTAGCCACTGTGAAGCTGTCTGGGATGCAGATTCTGAGAGGACCTCTGGACCTGGTAGGATGCTGGCAGAGCAGAAGATGAAGTTAAAAAGTTTAGGGGAGGGCTGGAGAGATGGCTCAGAGGTTAGAAGCACTGACTGCCCTTCCAGGGGTCCTGAGTTCAATACCCAGCAACCACATGGTGGCTCACAGCCATCTGTAATGAGATCTGGTGTCCTCTTCTGGTGTTCAGACATAATGGAAGCAAGATGTTGTGTTCACAATAAATATTTTTTAAAAAAGTTTAGGGGAAATTTTTTTCCTTAGGTCCTGGTAACTGAGGGAGGGAAATCCTAAGGTCAGGGAAAGATGAGGGAGATCCCATCCTCATGAACAGGCAGAAGGTGGGGAAACTTAGGCTGTTGATTGACAGTACTTATCAGGAGGGCATATGACCTGTTCGAGGTGGATCCAAGTTGACTCCCTGGAGCACACAGAATTTTTTTGAGTTTTCAAAAATAGATAGGTTTTAAACACATTGTCATTCCCACTGTTTATGAAGACACCTTTGAGTCACAGGGGAGCCAAAAAGGATTCTTGTTGAAAGCTGTAGGGCACAGGAGCCCGTCATAGATGGTGTTGAGGGGAAGTCACGAGGACAAGTCCTGAGTTGCTTACAAAAAGAGATGATTGGTTGCCTGAATCAAATCAGATGAGGTCACTGCATGAACTAGGTAAAGCATAGGGTTGTCTGCGGGATTCTGGGAGGCTCCAAAGCTGATGAAACTGACGGGTGAGCAGTGCACTTACCTTTCCTCAGACCCAGCTCAACCTTCCGTGGTTGGGCTAAGACTGAGTCTCAGCCGAGTCAAGCGGTCTCTCAGGGTGGACGACTCTGTTTTCAGTTAGACGGGAGAAGAAGGACCGGAGAGGTCTGCTGAAGATGAGGCGGAGGAGGAATGGGCTGAACCATCCGCCCCAGATAACTCCCCACCCCCGCCTTACACTCTCAGGAGCAAGGAGGGGCGGGAGGATGCATCTAGGGCCCCTACGCTACCCAGTAAACTTGGCCCCTGGGCCAGGCAGGCCTGTAGACTGGTACGCTTGGGAGGCCAAGGATCTTAAAGAGCTCCGCGAGGCTGTGGCAGAAGATGGCCCTAATTCCCTTTGGGAACAGACCCTGTTGCAGGACATCAGCTGTCATCTGTGCGCACCTAAGGACCCAGCTCAGCCTTCCGATGTTGGGCTAAGACCCCACAGAAGCATTAACACTCTTTCCCATATGGAATCAATGTAATAGTTACAGCACCATGTATTAATAGTCCCTGAGAGCAGGCCAGTGTGAATCCCTAAATATTAACACTTGCCTGCCTCTGTCGAAACTTAACATCTCGTTGCAATAGAATGAACTGACTTAACATGCAACTAGCTTCTACCAACCAAAAGCTAAGAATGCCATCAGATAGCATCTTTGATCTATAGGAAAGCTTCCTCTGTCTTAATGTACCTGTCTTTCTGATGTACCCACCAGTCTTTTAAATTTGCCTTCGTCTATGATTTTCCCTGTTCTGTAAAACTATAAAAGCTTCATGATACCGATTCCATGTTAGAACATGGAATTTGAGGTAACCTAAATTTGTATTTTGGTACCATCATCATTTAAAAAAAATGGCTCTAGAATGAGTTATCTCTTATTCCTTTTAAGTTTTAAATAGAGAATAGTAGTTCCTAATCTGTGAGTTGCGACCCCTTTGGGGTTGAATGACCCTTTCACGGGGTTGACTATTAGATATTTACAATTTATAACAGTAGCAAAATTAGTTATGAAGTAGCAATGAAAATAATTTTATGGTTGGGGCGGTCACAACATAAGGAGCTGTATTAAAGCATTAGGAAGGTTGAGAGCCACTGCTTTAGATGAGGGCCGTGGTTTGGGGGACTGGCTTTTCTTTCTTGTGGACTCTAAATTGATGGACCAAAAAGCACAATGTAAATATATCTGTACATTTTTCCGTTTTCCTTTCCAGACTTTTGACTTGAATATATGAGTTATGCCAAGTCCCAGGGAAACCCCGGACAAGCCTCACTCAGGACCTGTGGTTCCTCCCAGCATGTCTCCTCCCTAAACCTCTTCAGCTGCGTTCTCTTCAGCTAGCCTCATGCTGAGTGCTGTCTTTTGTTTTCCTGGCTGCTCCTGGTCCTCGGTTCTTCTTAGTCGGGTTTGTGTTGTAGGATCATCTTTTTGTACACTGTGAAGATGTGTCTTTGCCAAGGCGCCTTCTGATTGGTTTAATAAAGAGCTGAATGACCAATAGGTAGGCAGGAAGAGGTTAGGCGGGACTTCTGGGTAGAGAGAAGAGATGAATCTAGGCTGGGGAGAGGAAGCAGGATATGCAGGAGGAGTAAAAGCCATGAGCCATGTGGCAGCATGTAGATTAATAGAAATTAGTTAATTTAAAACAGCTAGTTAGAAACAAGCCTAAGCTAAGGCCAAGCTTTCATAATTAATAATAGATCTCTATGTCATGATTTGGGGGCTGGAGGTCCAAGAAAGCCTGCTGCAAGTTTGGACCCTTCCAGATGCTTCTGGAAGTTCTCACCTTTACAACAAAACCCATCTTCTCAACTATTCCTAGGAATGGTCATGTGCTCATTTTCATTCAAAGGATAGGAATGCTTTTTAAAACAAAAACACTGGCCAGAAACGCAGCTCAGCTAGTTAAGGTGCGTGCTGTACAAGCTTCACAATCTGAGTTTGACCTCTGGCTCGAAGGCAAAGAGAGATAAGTAACTCCACAAACTGTCTTTTGACCTCCTCACCCGCCACATGATACTCCCTCTTACTCCTTCCCAGCCCGAAATAATAATAAAGAACTGAAAAACAAAACAACAAGGCTTGGATTAGCAGGTAAAATTCTGACCATCTGAGTTTGATCATTTAACCTGTGTGGAAATCTAGACGCTGCGGCCAGCAGTTGTAATTCCAGTACTCCCTTGGTGAGGCTCGATACAAACAAGGAGAGACCCTGCCTCAAGGTCAAACCACAGAGAACCAGCCCTCAGAAGGTTTCCTCTGACTTTCCCCAGTGTATCAAAGCATGCCCCTGGATTTAACACACAACACACGTTAAAAAAAAAAAAAAACAATGCTTTTGGATTTCATATATGAAGATTTAATTAAATGAAAATTTATTTAGATCAAATATTTTAAACGCCCACACAAATGTCTGTCAAGGTTAGAAAGTGGAGCTAGTATAGGCCACACACCATGATGGACAACATAGCTTTATGAAATCATTAGGCTTTGTGTATTCAAGTATATATAGTTCACACTGGCTAATACAAAAATCGATCCGATTCTAGCAAAGCCTGCAAAATTTAAATAAATTTTCTTGAGTTTTATACCATGACTCCCAAGGCTGAAAGCTTAGACTTGATTTATAACAATGGCAAAAGTTATCTTTATGCCAGGCATTGGTGGCGCACGCCTTGAATCCCAGCACTCAGGAGGCAGAGGCAGGCGGATCTCTGTGAGTTCAAGGCCAGCCTGGTCTACAGAGCGAGTTTCAGGATAGCCTCCAAAACAATACAGAGAACCCCTGTCTTGAAAAACAACAACAACAACAAAAAAGTTATCTTTATTTCCTGCAAATGCAATCAGCTTTGCAAATAAGGCAAACATCAGTTTACATAGAGGCAGAAAGAAAACTGCAATCATCTAATTGTAGAGTTTGTAATACCCAAATTGTTCTGTTCTCTCCATGGTCAGATCAAGTCAGGAAGACCTATTACAGACTAAGTGAATGTGGTTTTGTGTGCTCCACAGTGGTGCTCTTTGGAAAACTGATCATTCTTGATTAGTACTGAACAGCTACTCTGCAGTTATTTTCAACTATGCTCCAAGGGACACCTCTTACTGAATGAACTTTCAGGAAACCAAGGGACAGTACCATTACTTATATTTCACAGGAAAGTAAGACAAAAGAGGATTTAGCATAGAATAATCTCTTTAAAATTACAAATTAGAAACACTATACTAGAGTTAGTTTTGTCTCAAAGCCTTTTCCACTGGATAACCATTACTTTATGTTTTGTTTTTTTTTCCCCCTGAAGACAGGCTCTCACTATGTAGCCCTAGCCTGGAATTCATAAAGATCCACATGCCTGTTTCGCAAGTGGTGGAACTAACGGGGTGTGCTGTCAAACCTGGCTGAATAGAAAGACTACTTTAAATGTTTTGTCTTCAGGACTGGCTTATAATTAAGTCTACAGTCTGTGAAATTTGCCCTGCCAAAATAAAGATATACTTGTCTACTGGATTCTGATTATAATTAAAATGTGACAAATACTTTTAATGAGAGAGGGTAAGAAATCACAAAACATCTGTCTCACAGGAAAGAAGTGCTCTATTACATGTTTCTATAAAAATGACCCAAACTTCACAGGCAGGAAGTTGATAATTTGATTTATCTTAATGGCTTTAGCTCATGAATAAATGATAAAGGCTTATGTGTTTTCTTATAAAAAAAGATGAGTCTTATTTGTACATTTGCTCTACGTTTTAAAGGATTTCTAATTACTAAAACATTCTTTATCTTACTTATAAGTGAAAACATTAAGTGAAAGTGATTCTTTGGCCACAGTTAGCCATTAGCTGAAAGTCAGCAAAGAATACAGGTTTTTTCACCAAATCAATAAATCTAGCCACAGGCTGACTAAAAGCTTCCTTTAATATTCCTATCAGGTCCCCTTTAAATTAATATTCTCTCCATATAATTATTTAGGCCAATGACATGGTTATGTGTCAGAAAGATCACATGTAGCTCTTCATAGAAAAATACCCAAGGAAACTAAAAAGAATCCATCAGCACATTTCAGGGATCATAGCACGACTCAAGATGTAGGCTTAACAAAGCCCATACGGATCTGCCCTGGAAAACCTCAAGAGGAATGGCATAGTCAAGTCCATTTCCTGACTGTGCGGGGCGGTTCCCAAAGCAGTCAGCGTCTGCTCCAGACTAGCTATTAGCGATAAAGTATTTCCCTTCACTGTAAGGCTTCTCCCTGAGGGATGCCTACATTTTTAATTATAGTATTTTATCCTGTTTCTTCTAGCTCCGTCCGCTCTCACAAATAAACCCCATACATTTCCGACATACCAGCTGCATTTCTTTTTGTTGCTGTTGTTTTGAGACGGTCTCACTATGTAGCCTGGCTGGCCTGGACTCACTGTGTAGACCAGGCTGGGTTTCAGCTCTCAGAGACCCACCTGCTTGTCTCCCGAATGCGGGTCAAAGATGTGCACATCAAGCCCTGCACTGGACATTTTCAACTGGAGCTGATACTATTCACATGATTCAAATTTCATTTAAGAGTTAACAACATTTCCCTTTAATTCAGACTTCTCTGCATACTTCATAAAATGTATTCATTTTTAGCAATTTCAATCAGTAAATACATTTTAAACGTTTTTATGAGTTGGATTTTTGAATATTGATGTGCTTCACAGAAACACAGCAAAGTGAGTAATTTCTCTAAATTCCAATTCCCCAACTTTTTGGTTTCTCTTTTCTCTTTCCTTCCCAATAAATTGTTCTCTTCTCAAGTCTTTATTATCTCTACTTTCCCATTTCTTTTCATTGTAGTAAGTACCAAAGGAAAGACACAAAACATTTCAGAGTGAATGAGTCTCTCCTGTCCTCAGTACACATTTCAGAGTGAATGAGTCTCTCCTGTCCTCAGTACACATTTCAGAGTGAATGAGTCTCTCCTGTCCTCAGTACACATTCCAAAGCTACACATGGCAGTATTTTAAAAATATTAACAGTTGTTAATGCCGTGAAATTGAAAAGAATAAAAAAGCCAGAGAAAATATAAGCAATCAGTCTGAAGTATATTAAAAGCTAGTCAGATCTTGACTGTTATATAAACACTAATTTTATCACTATAAAAGGCATGATTATATTTTACTTTTCTTTATAAAACTACCCTTTAACAGAATATTCACAAGCTAGTCATCCTGTAGATAGTTCTGTACTGATAAAAAGTTACTTTTAAAAGAAAAATATTAAAAATAATTGTTTCACAGAAACAGAAGGTTTTATCAAATTCTGATAAAAAGCTGTTAATTACGAGTAGAGTCTTACCACACTATAAATGTTGCCACCAAAGATGGAGACTTAGAAATGTCATAAGATGAGCATCTCAGCAACTACAAAAGTGCCGCAGCAAAAATGAGGTAGTCAGAGACTCCACTTTCAGAAGGGTCAGCATCGTCTTTCGAGGGTTCGTAGTTACCCCAACTGAGCCTCATTGCATCTACAGGAGGCACATCTTGAGTGGCTACCTCTCACAGAGATCAAGATGATCTGCAGAACACTAAGGAAAAAAACTCTAGAAGAGAATGGTAACAGATTTCCCCCATTTTAGTTTTGTAATTTTTTGAAAAAGTTAAATCTTTTAGTTTGTTTTATTTTGGTGGGGGGGGGCTGTATTGAGAAACAGACGGTCTCACTCTATAGCCTAGGTTGTTCCAGAACTCACAGCAATTCTTCTGCCTCAGTCTCCCAAGTTCTGGGAATACAGGCGTGCACTACCATGATCGGTAAAAGCTTGCTGAAGACTCTTTTCTTTACTTTAACAGCCCCCTCAAGACCGGAAAAGGCTGCTTTAGCACATATGCAACAAGAGTTAAGGAAAAGAACTTTTTGAGACGAATGCTCACCACACAGCTCTGCCTGGCTTACACTTGCAGCAGCCTTCATCCCTCTGGATGTCAAGTGCTGGGATCACCGGTGTGCACCACCATTCCAGCAACAAACATTTGTTCTCACGTGGAAACTTGGGAGCCGATGTTCATTCAATCCAGGGAGAAAAAGTTTGCTAAGACAGCTGGATTACCATCAAAAATCAGTTACTAGCCAGGCATGGTGGTGCACGCCTTTAATCCCAGTGCTTGGGAGCCAGAGGCAGGAGGATCTCTGTGAGTTTGAGGACAGAATTGTGTACACTGAAAGCTGAAGGTCAGCCAGAGCTACACAGAAAGACCCTGTTTCAAACAAACAAACAAACAAACAAACAAGCAAACAAACATAAAATCCAGCCAACTAAACAATAACAACAAACCAAATAACAACAAAAAAAAAAAAGGAAAAAAAGAAAAGACAAAGAAAGGTGTAATCCTGATACTCAGGCTACATGGAGAGATTCTGTCTGTCTGTCTCACACACACAAGTAAATAAGAATTACTACAATATTTAAAGGGGCAGATAGCCTACCACAAGGAAAACTGGGGAACGTGTGTAGGTCAGCCACCGAGGAGAGAAATACGGCACCAATCCACTTGTCTTTCTTACTGGGTACTTCAGGCCAGTGATGGTCCTAAAACGCTGTGCTGCCCTTAAGACAGTAAATGTGAAATACTGTTTTGTCCTCCTGCCCAGTAATGATACGTCATGGACCTATTACCATGTCTTCTCTTTTCTGAAGCCACAAAAAATGTTAGTTTTGAAAACAGAAATAATTATTTAGGTTGTAAAGACCAAATATTAAGCTTCCTAAATTTTGAACCATGTGTTTTGCTTGCATCTTTACTTAAGTTCAGTTTAAAATAATGAGAAACTATTCAGGCCTCTTTGTTATGGTGGATATGGGAGCTGCTTAGAAACTGTGAATTTTCCCTTGGGAACCAGAGTTCCTAGGAAAGTGCTAAGTAGATGCAACAGTCCATAATTAATATAGAAAAGCTCTAGTTGCCTGAGCAACTGCAAGCTTCTAATACTGCTATTTTATTTGTAAAGCTTCCAGTAAGAAAGGAACACATTATGATACTCTGCCCCCCTCCAGGTTGAAGGGCTGCTGCATTTGGGTTTACTGACAATCTTGCCATACTGTAGAACAAATGCACCTCTAGAACATAACATTGTAGTTTTTCACTGGCCAGATTAAAAGACAAACAAAATAGTTAAAATTTAAAACGAAACACTTTAAATTTCATTTTAAACCATTTTGTTGCCTAACATTCCTAGTAGCAATTAAAAAGTTAATTACATTACCATGGATGGATTATCAAACTCATCCTTACGCAAGAATTTTAAAATGAAAATGGGAATAACTATTCTGCCATACAAGAATACTGATAGATTAGCAAAATATCTTACATGTAGCGAAGAGCAGAAGATTATTTAAAAAAAATACAGAATGTTCAAATGTATTTGCAATGCCTTCAAATTTCAAATATGCCTGGACCATATGTAAATTAAGGGGAAAGCATAAGATTTACATGGTAAAAACAAAAACCAAACACCTGCTTAAAAATATATAACAAGTGTATCATAAGAAAAATAAATTGATCTGGAATTAAAATTTAGGGCAGTTTTAATTTGGATTCTAACTGCCTTTGTAGAAAAATTCAAAGAGGCGTTAAGAAAAATAAGATATTAAATGAAAATATGTATGCAAGTCCACATTCCTGACCTTCCCCATCATTGGTGCTCTGGCACATTGACCCTGAGTAACCTAACTTTTGACTTATAATGGTATTCCTTCAAATACAATTTCATAGGAGAAGGAATTGGAAGGGCATCGATGCCATCGTAAGTCGTGCAATTACAAATAACTGTTCTGCAAATGTGCTGCAAGGAAAAGGGGAAAGTCCGCATCAACGGAGTGGATAAAAGTGGTTCAAAGAACATACAGGCACTTGGGTCCTTATAATGTTCTAGGAGCCCAGTGATGTCGGGGGAGTGGAAGACACACGGATCGTGGGCATCAAAGCTAAAGTTGTGATTCCACTGCTCAATTCTGGCGTGAAGAGAACGACTATAGCGTCTAAAACTAACGGAGAATAAATAGTCTTCCTGTGCCGAGTCTCGGAGTAAAAAGGTGCCCTCTGGCTTTCCTTCTAGCAGAGCTTCGGCTGCGTACTTATCCATGACACCCCAGTAGCACGGATTGTTACTGATCTGAAGCAGGTCTGGGACCAGGCAGTGCACGTAACCAGCGTGGGTGTGGGGCTGGGGAGGCGCGTCCAGCTGCAGGGCCTCATCGTCCGTCTCCCACCTGGGCTTGCTTCTCTTTCTGGAGCTTGTGCACAGTGTTAGGACTTCGTCCTCTGACTCCATGTCACTGTCTTCTAAGCTGTTGTTTGTGACCAAGTGCAACACAGAGCCAGCCACGTGGCCGCCTCCACAAGAAGCACCGTTGGTAGTCACGACACAAGGCTGAACGCTGGTGTGTGAGAGACAGGCTGTGTCTTCCTCCGTGCTTCTTCGTTCTAGCTGACTGTCCCGCAGCTTGCTCTCAAGGAGCTCTGCGCTCACCCACTCATCTGATTTTGGACTTGCAGGGACAGTGTGTCGTTTAATAAAATGCCACCTAAAGGCTAAATCCGAGCGGGGTGGGAAAGGGCACTTATCTAGCCTGAGTTCACTGATGTGAATTTTTCTTTTAGAAGGAAGCCCCGAAGAGTGCCGACCACAATTCTTTATTGGAAAACACTGCCCCACAGCGTCTTGCAGTTTCTGTTTAAGGGATCGGCCTAAAAATCTATGCCCACAGGAATGGTCTAAGTCCAACTGAATGGACGAGCAGCCATGCTCCCTTTCTTGGCTCCTTCGAGAAGCTTCGGCTTTCTCTCCAGGACCTACGGTTTCAGACTCGGAACAGCTCTCCCTCTTTCTCGACCACGATAACTTCCTTCCACTCCACACATAGCCATCCTTTCTGTCAGCACTTCTACTCCGGCCTGTTTTAGGCCGTACATCTACATTTTTGCTGTTGTTTTCAGCCATTTTAGACAAATTATGTGCAAATCCCAGGGTTATAAATACTGCATTTTCAGCTTTTCTGACAGGAAGGTTCTTCTGGACACTTTCTGGATGAGTCTAAGAAAAGGAAAAAAGGAAGTCATTAGCAACCTGTTCACCTACTGGATGCAAGATGAAAAGCAAAATCAGTACGTGAGGGGCACTGCCATGCTGTCCGACAGCCTGAGGCGCCCATGGCCATGCACTGTTCTTCCTCAGTGGGTAACCCTTCCTCACACCATGGAGGCAAGATAACGGGTTCCCTTCTCACAGCTAAGTTTCAGCATGTGTTCTCTCTCAGCCTAACACATGCTTGGATAGGAATAGTTCCTACTTTTGCAGTATACCTTATGTCTGTTATCCTTCCCTTCTTTTTCTTATTTTTTGGTTTTTCGAGACAGGGTTTCTCTGTAGTTTTGGAGCCTGTACGGGAACTAGCTCAGCAGACCAGGCTGGCCTCAAACTCACAGAGATCTGCCTGTTTCTGCCTCCTGAGTGCTGGGATTAAAGGCGTGTGCCACTGCCTGGCCCCTTACTTTTCTTTTATTGGTTTCCTGAGACAGAGTCTTGTAATGTTGCCTTGACTAACCTGGAAATCTCTATGTGGTCCAGGCTGGCCTTAACCTTGCAACACTTCGTCTGCCTCCAATTCTATACTAGAATTACAGTCATATGTCATTATATCTTACTTTCACTTTATTTTTCTTATTTCACAACAGGTCAGTGAATTCTTTATAAGAGACAGTTACAAATCTATGAGCCAGTGGTTAGAACTAATACCCGGTATTGTTTCTTCTCTTGTTTCTATTTCTATTGATTAAAATACCAACAATTTTAAGTTGTAAAGTTTTCAGAATCCTATCGGGATTCTGATAGTAATTACCACTGAGCAACAGGAATGCCAAGTAAATATTCCTAAAAGAGTTTTTGCCAATTAATTCCAATAACTAGTTGCATCAATATCAGTCTTTGAAGTTTTCAGAATAGTCTACTCACATAATAATATTCTTACATTCTTGGTCACTTGGAAACAAGCAGGTAAATTTCTACAGGGTATTCCTTGGCTACTCATACTAGAATTCATAATGAATTTATGTAAATATTTCAAAAGCCTATTTCTAGTCATCTTGAATACTGTGCTTGTGTGCCTGTGTGTTTATGTGTGCCATGTGCACGCAGGTGCCTCAGGAAGCTAGAGGGTATCAGGTCCCCTGAAACTGTAGTCAGAGGTGGCTGTGAGCCTCCTGGTGTGGGTACTGGGAACCAAACCGAGGTCCTCTGCGAAAACAGCAAGTTCTCTTAACTTCTGAGCCATCTCTCCAGACCTACCTAAGTATTTTTAAGTGAAGCAAAAGTTAAGCCAGGAATTGAGAGGCAGGGTCCTATAATTCCAAATATTTTGAAAGCTGAATTTTGTATCAGAAAAATCAGTCACTGAACATGATAATTATGATTAAGTTAATTAATTTCAGAACATTAAAAACCTCAACAGTCAAGTGATGTGGCTAGAGACTAATACATTTTGAAATAAAATCCTAAATTTACCCAACTTTTCAAGCAATACTATCACTTAGTACTGCCTTTTTCAACAATATTTTTCCCCTCAGAACAAGGAGACATGTTTCCATAGTCAAAGACCCTGCTAAATAAATAGTACATCATTCTAAAAACTCAAAACTAACCCACTTCTGGTCCTGAGTACCAGAGATGGAGACTGAAGGAACTAGAGAAGGAAGGCATCACAAAGAACTTCAGCTGAAAATGGCTCTCAATGCACTGGAAGCTAAAGGTGAGCTCTTACTTTGACAGAAAACGAGCCAAAGCATGAAACAGAGAAAACAAAACTTCATGCAGCCATCTCTCCAGCCCGAGGGGATGAATTTTTAGACTGCAATATTTGAAGTAAAAGAATCCTTATACTATGTTATTGAGATATGACTATGAAAATTATGTCAAACACGAGGGTTGCACGGTATCTCAAGATATGCTATTTAAATTAGCTGAGCTTTGGGGACTGGAGTGACGGCTCGGTGGTTAAGGGCACTTGCTGCTCTTCCAGAGGACAAGACTTGGGCAGCACTCACATCAGGCAGCTCACAACTGCCATACCTCCAACTCCAGGAGATCTGATGCCCTCTTCTAGCATCCGTCTCTGTCTCTCTCTCTCTCTGTGTCTCTCTGTGTCTCTGTCTGTCTGTCTGTCTGTCTCTCTCTCTTTCTGTCTCTCTCTCTGTGTCTCTGTCTCTGTCTGTCTGTCTCTCTCTCTTTCTCTGTCTCTCTGTGTCTCTGTGTCTCTGTCTGTCTGTCTCTCTCTCTCATACACACACATACTCAAAATAAAAACTAACTATGTTTGAGAAATAGTTTCATTATATAGCTCTGGCTAGTCTTGAACTCACTGTGTAGATCAGGTTAGTCTTTTTTTTTTTCCTAAGACAGGGTTTCTCTGTGGCTTTGGAGGCTGTCCTGGAACTGGCTCTGCACACCAGGCTGGCCTCAAACTCACAGAGATCCTCCTGCCTCTGCCTTCCAAGTAATGGAATTACATTTGTACATTACTATGCCTGGCTCCAAATTCTTAAAAATATAAAAATTTAATCATACTGTTCACAATAAAACTAGCATGGCTCTTGTGGTGGTTTGAATAAACTGGCCCACAAGGCTCATATATTTAAATGCTAAGTCAACAGAGAGTGGCATTATTTAACAGGATCAGGAGGAGGTATGCCCCTGGGGGCAGACTTTGAGGGTTCAAAAGTCCAAGGTGGTCACAGTGTCCCTCTTCCTGCTGCCAGCAGATCCAGATGTAGGACTCTCGGCTCCTTCTCCAGCACCGTGTCTGTCTGCACGCCACCATGCTTCCCGCCATGAAGACAATGGACTGAACCTCTGAACTGTAAGCCAGCCCCAATTAAAAGCTTTCTTTTTTTAAGAGGTGCTGTGGTCATGGCGTCTCTTGACAACAAGAGAACACTGACTAACAAATAGGCAGTCATTAGTTCTTGAAAATTTCTTCTACTGTCATCACTATTGCTCTTTACAAGGCTGGGGTTAGAACTCAGGCTTCATGCATGTTGGATAAGTGCTCTACCCCAAGCTGATCCTTAGAATTCAAACCAAACTTTGTATAGAGGAAGAGGAGCTACAGATGGCTGGGTAGCTCTATGACCAGTTTTGGTGCAGTACAAAATCAGACAAGGCTTCAACAGATGTAAACACACTGAAGAGCATTAGCAGCTGTAGAGAAACCCCCTTCCTCTTTCTTTTTTAAAGGAGAGGAACAACTCATTTGGGAGAAGCTGCTTTGGCTCTTGATACAATATTAATTTTTTATGAAGGGAGCCATGTTACACAAAGCCCTGGGGAATGAAGAGTGACATTTAAAAAAAGCCATTATTTCTTAATGAGCAAGAGGCAAATGTTTAAAAAGCAAGTTTACGTTAAGAGTCACTTCAAGAAAGTAAGTTCCCAGATTCAACTGGCATAACAAGGATGAAAAAAAAAATCAATGTCCACATGCTAATTTCACTAGCAAAAGATGTAGCTAGTATTCTATTGAGTAAAGCTAGGAAGGTAACTTCAACTCAAGAGCTTTATAGAAAATAAAAGTTACCAACGAAAGGGTTAAATATCTGAAAAACTAATTTGAATTCTCTATCTTGCTGGAAAATAGAGCATATTTTATATGTGTGGATATAAATTATTCATTGAACTACTTATGCCTACAATTCTGATATACATTTAAGACTAGAATTCTAATTTCTAATACTAACCCAAAATAAATTTAATGATCTAAAGAGTAATTCAATATACTAAACAAGTCACAAATATATTATTATTATGATAGCAATTCAGTCCTGTGACCTTTCCTATGAAATTTGTAACTCCATGTTTACCTGTAACTACCTGGTTCAATCTCCAACAGAGCAGTCAGATTATAACTTGATATTTAAGTTGGATGTTGAGTAAACACTTAGGCTTCACAAAGGAATTTGTTGGATAGCAGACAACCGAGGAATTCCTTGGAATAGAACATCAAAAAAAAAAAATGAAAACAGGTTGTACATGAGGAAAAAATATTTGAGATGAAAAAAAAAACTTTCATTCTCCATTCTTTCCCTAGTAATTTTTTTTTTCTAGAAAAAAAAATTTAAACTTACATTCATTTTCTACTTAAGTATTAAAAGTACATCCTTTAAAGAGTTAACCAGGGCCGGGCGTTGGTGGCGCACGCCTTTAATCCCAGCACTCGGGAGGCAGAGACAGGCGGATCTCTGTGAGTTCGAGGCCAGGCTGGACTGACAGCCTCCAAAACAGAGAAACCCTGTCTCGTAAAACCAAAAAAAAAAAAAAAAAAAAAAAAGAAAAGAAAAGAGTTAACCAGGGCTCACAGGCTGGACTGGATGATAATTCAAAAAACAAACGAAAGGAGCAGAAGGAAAAACCCAAACTAAGCATGAGCTAACGCTACCAATCACTCTCATTTGACTTCCCCCCCTTCCCTTCCAGTCACAGCCTGACCATGCCAGATTCTCCAATCTATGTGCCAATAAGCAAAGGTTCTAAAGTTCCTTACAAGCTAACTTACAGAAACACTAGGAAAGGGTTTTTTTTGGGGGGGGGAGTGAGGGGGTGTCCCTCTACATAGCCCTGAGTGTTCTAGAACTCACGATGTAGACCAGGATGACCTCAAACTCAAAGACAGCCACCTGTGTCTGCCTCCTGGGTGCTGAAATTAAAGGTGTGGCCTACCAGGCCAGGCCTTCTTTTTTAAAAAACAAACGAACACTACAGGTCATTTTTTTATTACTTTGTAATAATTATATATGATTCTGGGTAACACAATTCACCCAAATACTAGTAAGATGTGAATCTAGACTTAAATATTTTAAGGTTTTAATTTTAAAAGCTATGTGTGGTGGTAGCACAAACCTATAATTCCAGGACTTATGAGGTGTGAAATAGAATCTCCAGTTTGAGGTCAGCTGGGACTACACAGCAAATCTGAGACCAGTACCTGTCATAATGGTTTTTATTAAATTCTGACTTTTATGACAACAGCTTGACTTAGAGGTCGGATGGCAGTCTGCCTTGGATAGTAAAAGAATTGGAGTCTGACACTGGGAGGTATGTGACCTTGGTGAATCAGAACACCTGAGTTTTAGCTTTTCCACCTATAACACACTGCATATTGCCAGGTATGGTAGAGCACACCTTTAATCCTAGCACCTGGGAAGCAGAGAGCTCTGACCTCTGTGAACCTAAGGCTAGCCTGATCTACCTAGTGGTCAGCCAGAGCCACAGAGAGACTGTTTCAACAAAACTACTAAATATGGTCAGGGAGCTTAAAAGGCCCCAGGAGTGAACTACTATCGTTATTCTGTTAAATGGGCATAGTATCAAACTGCCTTCTAAATTCTTTTTTTTCTCCTTAATTTTTTAAATTTAAGTTAGAAACAAGCTTGCTTCACATGTCAATCCCAGCTCCCTCTCCCTCGTCCCCCTTCTAAATTCTTATCTCTATATCAGTAGCTTAGCATATTTCTCAGACCTTATCAGAGAAGTTTCTTTGTGCAGCGGATGGTGGTTAATACGGAAATTCCTGATTGATCAAAGCACAGAGAATAAGTGTCAATGTAGTACTCAGCCACACATGGGGCATCCACACCCCCCCCCAGGACTAATGGACCACTGTGGAAGGTGAAGAGAGATTTTTAAGAAGCAGAGGTAAGGGAGAACTGGGGTGAGATACGCCTTCTGGACATGACAGAAACATTCCATTCATGAACTCCTAGAGGCTGTGGCTGCCAGTACAAGACCAAGTCAGTTAACACCCTAGTATGGGGGGTACTTATGAGGCCCCACTCTTAACTGAGAAACCACTGACAGCTCTAGGGAAGGAAGAGTCAGTTTTCTTTAAGGGTGTGGCAACCATGTTCCAAAGGATGGCCTCTACTCCTAATAAGCATTTGGGTAACATACGTCAGACAATGGTGGGTTGTCAAGGTGAGCAGAGGACATTAAGCAGAAAGACAGTGGGGAGGTGGGGGTAGGTTTGGGAGGAGTTAGGGGAACAGTGAGGTGGTGGTGAATATGATCAAAACACAATGTGTGAAATTCTCAAAGAATAAAATTGTGTTAAAAATTGATGCCAGCTGGTGGTGGCACATGCCTTTAATTCAGCACCTGGGAGGCAGAGACAGGAGGATTGCTGTGAGTTCCAGGCCAGCCTGGTCTACAGAGGGAGTTTCAGGTCAGGCTCCAGAGCTACACAGAGAAACCCTGCCTCAAAAAAAAATTGATAATATCCATCTTGCTATGAGAAAAGTCAACCTAGGTAATACAAGAATCAAATACCTGGTGTTTTCAGCTAGGTAGTTAAGAGCAGAGGGACTTTTACTATATTCTCTTTTATATCATACTGAGTTTCTACAAGTATTATTTACTCCCAGAATAAATATGTTATTAACATTCATTCATAATACAATCAGAGATAAAAAACAAATCAATGTCTTTTTTTTTTTTTGGTTTTTCGAGACAGGGTTTCTCTGTAGCTTTGGAGGCTGTCCTGGAACTCACTTTGTAGACCAGGCTGGCCTCGAACTCACAGAGATCCGCCTGCCTCTGCCTCTGCCTCCCGAGTGCTGGGATTAAAGGCGTGCGCCACCAACGCCTGGCAAATCAATGTCTTTTTTTTTCTTTCAATATTTGGTTCTCCTCAGCTATTGTCACCCTCTCTTCTAGTCTCATCTTCTATAACAATGATGAGTTTTACATCAAGTATAGATTCTATTAAAAAGAAGTTTTAGGATCTGGACTGGAGAGATGGTTCAGTAGTTATGAATACTTGTGCTTGCAAAGGACCCAAATTCAGCTCCCAGAACCTATATCCTGCAGCTCACAATTGCCTGTAACTCTCCAGGGAACTTGATGCCCCTTTTGGCCTCTGCAGGTGCGCTCTCTCCCTCTCCCCCTCTCCCTCTCTCTCCATCTCTCTCCCTCTCCTTCTCCCCCTCTCCCTCTCTCATACACACCCCCCCACCCTTACATTTTTATAATTAAAAATAAAATCATAAAAAACCTCCAGGACAGGCTCCAAAGCAATACAGAGAAACCCTGTCTTGGAAAAAAGACCCTCTTCTGTAGGCAATACTGTTATAGTCTCTTGGACAACTCTGTAGGCTCATATGACATTACTTATATAGATAATATTACTTTTGATAGAATGCTAATATATCAATGTTTTCTCAACCTATTGCCCTTGAGACCAACACTTTGTGAGCCCCAGGGTACTAAAGTGGTCACGGTAGGGCAAACCAACCTTCAGTGAAACCGAATCTCTGATCTTGGCATTGTTTTCAGTGAGTTCATTCAGATACCCACGCAAATGAGATATGCACTGGTAATGAGTAATTCATTTGGGAAATTTTGTACTCATATCAGAATTATAGGTACACTTTTTTTAAAGTTGTGTTATTTTAGATAACCTGACAATTTTGCAATACAGTACTTTAGTTACGCAAATTTCATTACTGTATTATCATTCAGTACATACTGCTTGAAAATCTATTGCTCTCAATATGCCCATAAGCTTGCTGAGGGCAGCATTCACAGTTTTGGAGGCATCTGAAGGTTTTACAGGCTAATCTCCACTTTAAACAAAATCACTAAATACCTAAAGTGCCTAACTAATAAATACCATGAGGCCTTAACAGTTTTAGACATCCATGAGTATCTTCTATGTATGTCAACAATTTGGTGGAACTATGTATCATCTCCATTTTGGAGGTGAGAAATCTGACATTCAGGAAACTAAAGACACACTCACACTCAAGGTCATACAATAGGTTAGAGTTAAAATTAAAAACTAGAACTGTTTAACCCTTAGCCTTAAGCTTATTCATACCCATGAAATCAGCAAAGGAAATATAATCTTAACCTGTGAATAATGGCTTGGTTGCTAAGCAAAGAGAATGGGCAAGTGTGCTGACACCGTTCATAGCTTTAAAATCAAATGGTCTTGCAGATACTGTGTCTAAAGTATTTATTGCTATAACTTGTTCCTGTCTGCAGGGTTCTCAATGGTGGGCCCCGAAAAGCATTACTCTGAAATACCGCTATGATATATTCAACACATAAATGAGTATCAGCTCAACTTGAAGCTCACACTGTACCTAATAGTTTTTACTGCCCAGTGACTCCGGCAAAAGAATTATAAATTGGTCCATCTAAAAACTGAATAATTCCAAAATAAAACATAAGTTACTCAGAAACTAGCATCTCAGGTACCTTCATCCTTGTGGGAAATTAGCAATTGGGTATTTTAAAATCATCTCAGGGTCTTTTTGAGCCAACCACTCTTTCTTCTTATACACACACAAATCTGTGTCTATTTGGAGCCCTACTTCTTAAAAAATGCCACCAGAGCAAGAATACCACGGTTTGAGTAACTAAGCTTGAAGAACAGGGAAATATACCTCTACAACGGAAAAAAAAATATCTCGGGTGATAAAAATAAGTGATTGAAACTGTATGGTCGGCACCACAAAAACTCTGAGAAATTCCATAGGATAAATACTAACAACAACAACAAGTCATTGTTTTCAACAGAGACCAACTTACTGACATGGAGAATGTGAAGAAACAAGAAAAGCATTAACTTGACGGGCCCAAGACCTTACTTAGCACAGGATGTGTTATGGGCTATGCGCATGGATGAAAGGAAGCATTCATCAATATACATTATAACTTCTTTCGGATCTAAAAGCACGCACCTCAGTAAACTCTGGGTGGGAACTAAGTAGGAAAACCCGACTTCACTCTCTTAAGCATGACTTAGCTCGAGCTGCAAGAAACAAGAGTCCATCCACCCTTTACCACTGCAGAAACGACAAAGTGAGGGGCACGAAGGATGTCAAGAATAAAAGGCTTAACAAGGTCTGCCTCTAACCCCGTCCCTGAGCTCGGTCGGCTCAGGCTCGGGAGCCGCTGCCTGGGAGGCGACAGGCGCAGAACCCCAGCCCTCGCGGCCGCCCTCCCCGCTCTCACCTCTCCGAGCGCGGCTCGGCCGGGGCTGTCCGGGCGACTGCCGCCGTCCCCGCCGCCATCGCTGCGCTCGGCGCTCGCTCCAGGGCGCGAGGGAGGCCCGGCCGCTCCCGTTCCTCGTGGAGCTCCCGCAAGGCGGATGCCTCCTCAGTCAGCTCCCCGCCCCCGCCCCCGCTCAGTCAGCCCGACGCCCAGCGCCAGACGGGCCGCGGCCTCCGCCTGCTCTCCTGGGACCGCCAGCACTTCCGGGTTCAGCGCCCACCTCCTCTCTCCGCGGCGACGCGCCGCTGACGTCAGCAGCCGGCGACCTGGGTCGGGACCCGCGCCGGGCGGCGGCGGGCGGCGCACGCGCACAGGGCGAGCGCGCCGGAGCGCGGGAAGCTGCCCGGGACGGAGCGCTCTACCTGCGGGTCCGGAGCCTGCTGCTGCTTCTGCTGCTGCTGCTCGCTCGCGTTTCCCGAGCCTGCAGAGGAGAAGCTTGTCACCTCCTCCGCCCGTGGAGTGACAGACTGTCGCTGCTGCTCCCCGGGCGACGGAACCAGGGCTGCGCGGCGCGCAGTGGACGACCCTGCACCCCCACTCCGCCTCCTGAGAATACTAGTTCTGAGAAAACGCACAGCTAGGCAAAGGGAAACATGCCGGCCACACAGAAGCCCATGAGGTATGGACACACGGAAGGACACACCGACGTCTGTTTTGATGACTCTGGAAGGTAAGCGCGTCTCTGGGAATTAAGAAAAAGGGGACCACCCGGGCGTGGGTGTCGGCCGCCATTCACCGCACGTACAGTCAGCCCAGGGTGACCGATGCGGAGCGAGGCGGGGAGGCACGGACGGGAACGTCTGCTCCCCACTGTCGCGGTAGTTCTGGGATCCCAGGGAAGTTCTCCAAGAGGAGCGTCTTCTTGCCACTCGCAGTCTCGTCCGGTGTCAGGTCCCTTTTAGGACCTCGCTCACTGCACACGGCTTGTCAAAGCCCCCATCCTGACGGGCCTGGGAAGCCACCTTTGGCTTTAGTAATGTTATTTCTCTTTGTTCTCTCTTTCCTTCCCTTTCCTTTTTAACTTGACGTCGGCCTTTGCTCTGTTTCATTCATGAACTGTTATTTTGCTGAGGCGATTCCCTTCGCTTTAGAAGAAAAGGTATATTTATTTTGGGGTGTGTGTGTGTGGTTGAGTATATTTGAACTGCCATGTGGGTGCCGGGAACTGAGCCCAGGGCCTCTGAAAGAGCAGTCAGTGCTCGAAGGCATCTCTCCAGCCCCTCTCCCCTTTTATCTTTCTAAATGTCATTCCCGTCAAGTACTGGTAAGGTGTGGCTCCAATGCCACCTCTCTGTTCATTGATCCATAAAAACATATTTGTGAGTCTACTTTTCTGGGCTGGATATCAATGACAAGCCATTACCATTTCCTTTATTGAAGTTAAGGTCTTTTTGGATTAATGGGCATCAGGCACAAATTAATTACAAGATAAATGTATGTTTGTGAAGTATACTTAGAACTACTAAGTGATGTGTGCAGCGGTAAGCATACGGGCAGGGAAGGTGATCTGAGTTTAAGGACAGAAAGTGTCTGTAAGGGAGTGTCTTGAACTGAAGATTGAGTAGGTATTAAGTAGTATTCAGAAATAAAGATGGTCCAGGGATGTAGCTTAGTGGTACTACATTCTCCAGCCTCATGAAAGAAAGAAAAAAGAAATATAAAGAATTGGGGGCCTGGCAGTAAGGTCTTGATGCTGGCATTCTGAGTATGTTCAAAAGGCCAGTGGTGCCAGGGGCCCTGCTAGCTTGGAAATTAAAAGGTATCCATACTAGAATGTAAAGTGATGTTGAGATTCCTGAGATGGGCATGTGAGGGTAAGCAGGGGTGTCCTATGCAAGGCGTGGCCAACCAGAGTTGAGATGGGCCTGTCATACCAATGGTTAGGAGGTGGCGGCAGGGAATTCCCAGAGCACACAGGCTAGCTAGACTAGCTGAATTCATGAATTCTGGGTTCAAGAGAAACCCTACCTCAGTATGTGAGAGCTATAGAGGGCGTTAACCTCTGGCTTTCTGCACATACTTGTGCCCACACATGCACATGCACGAACACGTGTGAACACTCACATAAACACCAGCATGCGCACAACGCACACACGTGCATGTACCCACATAAGAATCTTGGCAGTGGGAAGGTATGGGATGTTTGAAAGAGACTGCAGTTATTCACAGAGAGATGCTTGGAGGATGAATTGGTAGGAGGAGCTTTGACTAGTTGAACGGCCGAAATGAGCTCTAGAGCGGAGGTTGGTGTGGAGAAGACAGGTAATCGAGTTGTTGATGATAGAAAGATGTCCGATAATATCTTCGTATCTGGATGTTATAGTTGAAATGGTACCATCATTTGTAGGTGCAGGAAATACTTGACACTTGAAGAAGAACATGGTTTAGAAGGGAGGAGGGAGTAGAGATTATGAGTTTGCATTTGGACAAGGTTAGTATAGGATTTCTTTGAGATGTTCAATTAGAAATGTAAAGAGAACCTTTTGAAATCAGAACAGTGTGACTAGGGTAGGGTGCCGGGGAGAGGGGAGAGGGCCCTCCTAGGTCATCCGTGCCTGGCTATTGGCTGGTCTGTTCTTTGGCAGACCCAGTTGTAATTGGCAGTGACTCTCTTGCCCAGAAAATGGAATGTTGCAGCTTCCTGTTCCTGAGTGTTAGAGAACACATGTAGATGCCTTGTTCAGGGCTGGACAGACACTGAGAAGTCACTTACTCATCTTGTGCATTCCCGAGTCTCTGCATTGACTCCCATTCACTGCAAATAGAGTCTTCTCTAATAAAGACTGGAAGTAGCATTTTTAAGGAGGTTTAAGGCTATTCGGTTTAGCGAAGCAGTAGTATTAAGTACCCAGTAGGGTCTATGACCACCCCTGCTATAGACTTCTGGAAGGATTTACTGTACCAGGAATGGGTTCCCCTTTGTGGAATAGACCTTGAATCCAAACAGTACTTGGTAACCCCCATAACTGCCATACCACATTCGCCCACACAAGTGGACATGTCTTGCCTAGAAGCTGGTATCCTAGAGGCAGGGTGTCATATAGCATAGCACAGGCTGGTCTTAAACTTAATCTGTCTCCCAAACACTAAGATGATAGTTAGTGCTACCACCCCTGGCTAAACACTTTCTTATGACCCTTTTGGGAATTAATAATTCTGGTTTTCCCATTTGTGAATTAATAATTTCTTTCATTTTAAGCATTCATTTTATTCATATTTTTTCCTTCCCTCTCCCTCCCTTCCTCTTTTTTTTTTCCTACTTTTTTTTTTTTTTTTTTGCCATTTGCCCTATGCTGTTTTTATTTCACTTGTAGGAATGAGCTGGAGCTCACTGGCCTTGAACTCACAGAGATCCACCTGCCTCTGTCTCCCGAGTGCTGGGATTAAAGAAGTAAGCCAACACCAGGCTAATTTGCAGCTTTTTATGTATCCAGATAGGACATTAAAAAATAAATGAGCAAAAGTACTTGAGAGATGAGAATTTTAATAGACAAGCTATAACAGATGCATGTAGCTATTTTAATAATTATTCTTGGGTAATTGGGCTCATATGTTCATTCAGCAAACATTTGCTATAGGTTCTGTGTGTCATATGTTGCTTGGTGCTGAGGATATGATGGTGATCGAGGCAGAAATTAGGTGCTCACTTTCTCCTACGTTATTACAAGAAATACTTTTATGCCAAGGAAGAGCTATGGCTAACAGTAAACTCATCTTCATTTTAAGGAATGAGAAGTTAGCAGTAGTCTGTTACCGATGTTTACTTGCAAAAATGAGAAAAATATCCACTGATGTTTTGATTTTGCTTCAGAATGAGGTCGCATTCCATAAGGGGTGCTTCTGAAGCTGACATTTTAGTATGTCTGTGTCCTTCACAGTTTTATCGTGACCTGTGGAAGTGACGGTGATGTGAGGGTGTGGGAAGATTTGGACGACGATGACCCGAAGTCCATTAATGTTGGAGAGAGGGCGTTTTCCTGTGCTTTGAAGGTATGCTTAGTTCATTTGATGGGAAGTAATGCTGGCATGTTACTTTTTAAAATTTTATTTAAACTTATTTCATGTGCCTTGGTTCGAGGGCGTCAGATCCCCTGGAGCTGGAGTTACAGACGGGTGTGAGCTGCCCTGTGGGTTCTGGGAGTCGAACCCCAGTTCTCTGGAAGAGCAGCCAGTGATCTTTAACTGCTAAGCCATCTCTCCATCTCCAGGCATGTTACTTTCATGCTTGGGTGGAAAGTTACGTAAAAATGTAAATTTCTCCATATTTTTAATTACGTAAATTAGTTTGCTAGCCCTTGTACAACAAGTGACCAGGAACTTGGTGGCTTAAAACCCTGAAATACTGTTGCTTCACAACCCAGGAGGCGAGAAGCCTGAGATTTAAGGTAGCAGCAGGATTGACTCCTGCTGGTCTCTGAGGATAACTTGTTCCTTGCCTGCCTTCTGGTTGTCATACCATCAATCCATGTTTCCATGTCACTCTGTCTCAGCAGTGGGTTCTGCTGTCAGCCTTTGTCCTGTTCCAAAGGCACAATGGTATTTGGTAAGAGACCTGGGCAGTAGTGGCTCCATCTTTTGCTGTCACCTTCTGCGCTGAAATTGTTTTCTCTGATACTCTTTTTTTTTGAGTCTCCTCATGTTTATGATACATGGTAACCTTTAAAATACAACTTTTTCTGTCAGAAGTTAAAAATAAATTACAGGCTAAAGATTGTCTGCTGAAGATGGAATTAAGTTTTCTAAAGCTTACCACTGTTTACTTTAGGTAAAGTGTATACTGATAAGTTCTCTCTCTGCATAAACTACATTTATAAGGCTTTGTGGTTTTTATAGGATTTTTCACTGTGGAGATACTATTAGCTGATTTGGATTTGTTATGCCAGCATGTCTAATGTTTATTTTTCTTTAAGAATGGAAAATTGGTCACTGCAGTTTCTAATAACACCGTCCAAGTGTATACATTCCCTGAGGGAGCTCCTGATGGCATATTAACACGTTTCACCACAAATGCAAACCACGTGGTCTTCAATGGAGACGGTACTAAAATTGCTGCTGGGTCAAGGTGAGCTCACCTCGCACACAGTGTTATAGGGTCATTGTTTTAGGACACTGTACACCTTTATTGTTGTTGCCAACTCTTTAATAAAGGGTTTTGCGGACAACTTGTAATAAAAAAATTAAATACATTTTTTTAGTGCTGAAAATATCGGA